GCTGCGAGGCATGCGACCTGGTCAAGCACGGCCTCACCCACAAGGTCAAGGCGAGCCTCGACATCCCCATGGCACCTTGGCAGGCAGCCGTCATGGACGTTTCCGACCTGACGTTCCCGGACTTGAATGTGAAGGCCAGGTTTCTTCTCATCGCAGAGGTCGCCACCGGCCTGATGTGTGGAGACATCACTGCGAAGATCGGCCTCAAAGATAAAGGCACGGACTCGTCAGCTACACTGTTCACGACGTTTGCCAGAGCCTACCTTCAACACTATCCCAAGCCAAGGTGGGTTTTCGTCGATCCTCAGCCATCTTTTGTGGGCGGCGAGTTTAAAGACAACTGCCAGCTGGCCGGCATCGGCGTCTCAGCGAAACCAGGAGGAGCACATTGGATGGCTGGCGACATCGAGCGCCGCATCTCGACCGTCAAGCAGGTAATGAGGAAGCTTCGCCTACAATACCCGAAGCTGAGTCCCGAGACCGTGTTTTACATCTCGATTGCGGCGGCCAACAACATGGACAACATCAAGGGCTACACGCCGATGCAGTGGGCTTTCGGGTTCTCTCCCACCGAGGACCCAATCTTGGCGCATAACGCAGCTACTGGCAAGTTGAAGTCCGACTTCTTCGAGATCGAGCGGGTACGAGCGGATGCAGAGGCGACTTACCTGAAGGAGAAGGCGTCCAGGAAGATCTCAGAGCTGAAGAACTCAGCCCCACGACCTCGACATGAATATAAGCGAGGGGACTGGGTCTGTGTCTGGCGGTCGTACGCTGCGACAGGGAAGCGAAAGCTTTCCGGACAGGATTTCTTCACGGACGGCCTCTTCATCGGACCGGGCAGAGTTCTGTTCTCCGAGCCGGCGGTCCAGACAGGTAACAAGGACGGCGTGATCTGGGTCATCATGGGCAACCGATGCTGGCGCTGTGCAGCTGAGCAACTGCGGCCAGCCACGCAGTCGGAGATCGCCCAGATCAACCTGAAGAAGGACGACATTCTCAACAGTCCGCTCGAGGACGTCTGGAGGCACCTCCAGGACTTTGACGACATCGCCGGGGAGCCCTCCCCAACGGCAGATGGCATGAGGATGCTACCACGTCAACCTCTTGAGGGCATGCCGAGGGTGATCGAGAATCCCGATGTGGCCGTGGAACCCCACGACGTCACGGAGGCAGATGACGACCTGGAGGTCGACGAGGACAACTCAGCACCAGAGCCACCACAGATTAAGCGAACAAGATTGAGAGGCAAGCAACCGACTGTGTCATGGCCACCTGTACCGACTGAAGCTTTCCAACCGCGTTTTGGGAGATCATCTTCATCAAGAGCCTCAGCTGAAGTTGCTCACGCTGCCCTCTTCAAGGCGGCGAGCGACCATGTGGAAGCCAGCGAGACCGACATCATCAACTTCGTGCAGGATCCGAACAACGAGGCCGAGATGGACCTGATGAAGATTGAGATCGAGACGGACCTGGAGGAGTTCTGCTTCGATGCGAGCGCGTACCTGGAGAAGCAGCTGAACCGAGTGGCCAACAACACGGTCAAGAAGGGTGTGGAGGTTTCGTTTGGCCGCCTGAGCCCCGAGGAGAAGCCACTGTTTCAAGAAGCAATGGCACGGGAGCTGGCGGAACATCTGGAAGTACCGACAGTCCGGGCTGCATCGGCTTACGCTGACTACAATCGTGGAAAGGACATTCCAGCGGACAAGCTGATCAAGATGAGGTGGCTACTGACCTGGAAGCCTTTGACACCACCTGAACCACCGGACAAGTCGGACCCACACCCCGTGAGCACGCCAGACGGGAAGTTCAAGGCGAAGGCCCGTATCATTCTGTTGGGCTTCTCACATCCAGACCTTGTCAGTCGGGACAAGTTCGGAGATCGGGTACTTCCCACGGCGTCACCAACCATTTCAAGAAAAGGGAAGCTGGCACTCCTCCAGATGGCTGCTTTCCACGGCTGGACCTTCGAGCTAGCCGACGCGAAGTCCGCCTTCCTGCAGGCCGGGCACACCGAGGAGTGGAGGAAGCTCTACACGAAGGGCGTGAAGGAGCTCCGGCAGGCCTTGCAGATCAACGAGGAGGAGTCCATGAGAGTCTTGGCAGCGATCTACGGGATCACGAATGCGCCGTGGGTTTTCTGGAAGTACGTGGACCACAAGATCCACGAAGCAGGAGGCAAGAGCGTCCTCATCGAGCCATGCATCTGGATCATTCAGGACCAGAACGGCACCGTGTGCGGGGTCATTGGCTCGCACGTGGACGACTTTGGCATCGCAGGCGACAGCGACAACAAGTTCTACCTCGACATGAAGAACATGCTGAAGGAGATGCTGCGGTGGTCTCCATGGCGAAGCACGCCATGCATGTGGGCAGGCATGTGGATCACCCAGGAGCCATCGGGCAAGATCCATGCTAGCCAGGAGGAGTTCTGTCACCAGCTCCTCGAGATCAGGGTCGAGTCCGGCAAGTACCTCTCGAAGGATGACAAGCTCAAGCCGGAGGACGTCACCCAGTTCAGGGCAGGCCTGATGAAATGCCAATGGAGAGCGACACAGACAGCACCACAGTTCTCATGTCGGGTGTCACTGTTGGCTCAACGGGTGAACGAGGCGACGTTCGGAGACCTAAAGGACACGAGCGCCCTCATACGCGATGTGAAGCGGACAGCTCGTGATTCCCTGGTGTTCCACAACTTCAATAGCAACGGTGGCAGTAAGCTGAAGTGGGACGACCTAGTGATCGTGACGTGGGTCGACGCAAGCAGACTACTACAACGAGGAGGCTACATCGTGGCGTTCACCACGGCCGAGATCCTCAAGCAGAAGGAATGTGCAGTATCGATCGCCGACTGGAGATCGTACAAGCTCAAGCGCACCGGCATCGGCACCAACGGCTGCGAGGGACAGGCTCTGTACGACGGCGAGAACGCGGCGTACCTGATGCGCATGCTATGGTCAGTCATGCACGGAGTTCCAGTCACTGCGCACACTCAGGAGGAGGTGGCGCAATCCATGACCTCGGTGCTGGTGATCGACAGCCGAGGAGTTTATGATTCAGTTCACAACAAGGAGAGTTTCGGCATAGGCCTGAGTGATGCGAGGACCGGCGTGGAGGTTCTACATGTGAAGGCGAACTGCGGGCCCGAGAAGAACCAGCACCTGGTTTGGGTCCCCTCGGACCTCAATCTCACCGACGGCCTCACGAAGGACAGTCCCGAGGCAAGGAAGCCTCTGGCTCTGTGGCTTGCACGGCGTACCTGGATCATCAGGTACGACGAGGATTTCATGTCAGCCAGGAAGCGACAGCGAGCCAACAAACTCGCTCAGGACAAGCCGCAGGCATCTGCAGACGCTGAAGCCGAGGCCGCCGACGCTTTAGCTTTTCTCGACCTATCTTGAGGATAGGGTCGGGCTCTTTTCTCATCATTCCTTTTCATATTCGTACTGTGCAGGGCCCCTCTTTTGATCCAGTTCGGTCGGAACGGTTGAGAAGGATTTTAGGCTCATGTCGAGCCGAGGCGACTCGAGCGAAGTTTTGAGTCAACCTCTCCTTCCTCACTCTCTCTTTTGCCGCCGCCTCCGCGGCTGTATGGGATCGAGGAGGGGGCCCCCTCTTTTGTGCAGAGAGCGCGGCAGACACGCTCGCCAGCACGGGCTGGCGCCATCATGCTCGACGGACGAGCGCAGCACAGCATAATACAGCGTCGACGTTAATCACGACAATCATCATCATCATCACCAGCATCATCCTCATCAGCATCAGCTTCACCAGCAGCATCATCATCATCAACATCATCATCAACATCATCGTCATCATCATCAGCATCATCGTCGGCATCACCAAAGTAGCAGCACCATCAGCATCAGCATCAGCAACATCAGCATCACCATCACCATGATCATCATCAGCAGCAGCATCAGCAGCAACAGCATCATCAGCATCATCCTTAGCATCAGCATCGTGACCATCAGCAGCATGGTCGACATCGGCATCATCATCACCATCATCAGCATCATACTCATCATAATAATCGCCAGCATGAGCATCATCAGTATTCTCGTTATCAGCATCATCATCCTCATCAGTATCAGCATCATCCTCATCATGAGCATCATCATCATCATCAGCATCAGCATCATCATCATCATCATGACCACCATCATCATCATCGGCAGCATCATCATCAACACCACCATCCTCGTACTCATCCTCATCATGATCCGCATGATCATCCTCTCGCTCATAATCATGCTCATGCCGATGATAATGCTGCTGATGATGATGAGGAGGATGATGATGATGATCATCATCATCATCATCATCAGTTTCATCATCTTCATCTTCACCATCACCATCATAATACCACCGCCTTGTCCTCCTCTTCGTCCTCCTCTACCCTATGCGCATCATCATCACCATCATCATCATCATCATCATCATCGTCATCATCATCATCATCGTCGTCATCATCATCAGCATCAGCATCAGCATCAGCATCAGCATCATCACAATCATCCCATCCTCCTCACTATTCCTCCAGAGGGCTCCTAGCCCCGCGAGCGAACAGTTTGCCCTGGGCACACCCGTCCACACCGCGGGGACCACCCATCGGTCTAAGCAGTCCCCCGTGCGCCTCGACCGGATGAGGTGCCCCAGCATATCTAAGCAGGCGCGAACTCGCGGCTGTGCCGCGCGGCCCCTTCTATGTACAGGGATCGGCCTCCTAAGTGCGCGAGCCCGACCCCGCCTCCTGCCCCTTTGCCACCGCTCTTCCTTCTTCTCCTCGTGCTCCTCCTCCTCCTCCTCCTCCTCCTCCTCCTCCTCCTCCTCCTCCTCCTCCTATTGCTGGTCTCCCGCATTATCGAGGTATTGCTTACCCCCCCTCCTTCCCCCCCCCTCCTTCCCCCCTCGCTCCTCCATCCTTCCTCCTCCCTCCTCCCTCCCTGGCGTCCCTGGCGTCTGAACTCGAAACTGCAAAGAAAACCGGTGGTCGCTGCTCACTCCCAGCGCTTCACTACGACGTGGATGTCAATCACAGGCTTGCCGTGAAACTCTGGGGGATGTTCCTTGTCCCGATGGGATGTCTCTCCGTCGAGATACTTGAACTTATCCAGGATTCCGTCGACATTGCGCAGGCGATGTCCTTGGTCTGTCTCGAACCAAAAATCGTCCTGAAGGACGTTGAGTTTACGACAGATCTCAAAACTGATGGAGTCGAAGAGCGGCTGGTTACAGATGTCTTCCCAGAGGAAGTATTCAAACTGTTTCATGTCCTTGAACTTCTCATGCCTGAGGTGTCGCTCGGTCAAATTGGCAGGAGGATTGATTCGGAACGCGCCGCAGAACGTCGCGATCCATTCTGGCTTGCGCAGGTACTTCATGCGGCGGTTCCGCGTGTGGTTCGTCGTCACCTGAAAGTCAACGATCGGGGGGACTGGCTCAGAGGGGGGAAACATCGACCTGCACTGGGCGATGGGTCACCGAAACATCGGCGACAAGCCCCCGACGATGAATCCGCACATTCCTTGGAAGGGGTGGCCTATCGGATCCCTGCCTTTCACAGAATGGGCGACCGGGGGCGTCTGCACCCCCCCAGCCTATCCCTCCCATTGGTCCGCGTCGTCTGCTTCTCGGGCCATGCCTCGGGCCTCCAGCGGCCGCTCGGGGCGATCCGGGCTCCTCGGGACGCCTCTCGGCGAGGCGCAGCTCGAGCCGCACCCCGAGGCAGGAAATCCTCCGGGAATCCTCCTCCTCCTCCTCCTCCTCCTCCTCCTCCTCCTCCTCCTCCTCCTCCTCCTCCTCCTCCTCCCCCCCCCCTCCCCCTCCTCCTCCTCCTCCTCCTCCTCCTCCTCCTCCTCCTCCTCCTCCTCCTCCTCCTCCTCCCACTCCTAGCCCTTTCGATCAGGGTCGGCGGCACCGGCCGTCAGGCCTCTCCAATCCTCTGGGAATAAACGAAAGCGCCCGAACCCCCCCACGGTTCAGGCCCCCCTCTGGCCTTGCCCCTGATCTGGGGGAATCAAAAGGTACCGATACCGCTGCTCCCTGGGCCTCTCATGGAGTGGGTTCTGACCAAGATTTCGGGGCGAATCCAGCGGCGGCGACGAGGGCCGCCCAGGAGGCCCAAAAAGGGGAAAACCGGGCTGGGGGGCAGAGGTACGGCTACCTTGTCCTCCTCCGACGTTCAGGTCCCCCTGTGGCGCTGCCCCTGATCACCGCGTCCCCGAGATGGATGTCGTCCAGCCGGGCGTCCCTCGCCGTGCAGAACTGCACCACCCCGGGTGCGGGCCCTCCGTGGCGGGGGCCCGGCCCACTCTCCGCGTCCGCGGCCGTGCGGGCACGCTTGGCGCTCCTGGCCTCGGAGCACGAGGTGAGATCGCGAGGCGGCCGGCCCTGGGGGCAGAGAGTATGGAGGGCAGAACATCCACCCCGAGAAGAGCCGCCCCGACACGCGAAACTGTTTAGTGAACGCGCCCAAAGAAGGGATCAAACAGGGCAGGGCTATTTAGTAAACGCCCAGGGCCGTTTGGTAAACGCCAATTGTCCGGTCCGGGTGGTTTTCCCTCCCTTGAGAGAAGAAGAGGGATGCACCGGGAACGGGGCAGGATGAGGAAAGATGCCGTCGAAGACCTCCAGAGGCCTCCGAAGGCCTCCAGAAGCCTCGGAGGAGCCCGATGGGGGCCCTCTCCCCAGAGATCCGATGTCTTGATTTCTTCCATACGGGATGCCAGGAGGTCCTCCACGAACCGATACCAGCGACAATTATTCGTCTTGCTTATTTGTTCGAGACGTTGGATGTCTAGCAGGTGTCGACATCCGAACCCTACAGCCACCGACCATCGAATCTCCTGAATCGATGGGAGGCGGGGGTGGGATTCGGATTTCACCACGTATTCGACGGATTCTGAGCCCGACCCCCGTCGCCATGGGAGGCGGGGGTAGGGTTCGGCTTTCGCCGCAGAGAAAGGGTTGGAAGGGGAATGAATGAGAACGGGGGAGGAGGAAGGGATGGAGAGAGACCCCCTCCAATCAAGGCTGGCCAGCCCCATCCATCCCCCAGCGCATTGATACCGATAAATCAGAAAATTGGCCTGATCATCTGCCTGATCGAGGCCTGACCGACGGATCAAGACCTTCTAAGCTCCAGGCGCCAGGGTCGACGAATTTTTGAACCGCAGCCTTCTTCTGCATCAGCTCAACGAGCGACCATACAGGACTCTTTAGAAGTCCTTCGCTGGGGGGCATGCTGAGATCACGCATTGAAACGATGTCATGATTTCGTAATTCGGAAATCACCAACTCGTCCAACGGATCCGTCGGGAACATCTCGTCATGGCACTTCTCCACAAGTTCTCGAACTGTAGGGGAAAGCGGTTCGCCACCTGGGCAATGGAATGAGTGTTAGGTCGGGCGTTTCCTCCTACATGCGGATTTTGGAAGAAAACAAACATGATCCGGAAAGGAATATAGAAATGTAGGAATGGCAACATTGTCAAAAACACCAGATTGGGCGACGGGCTCTTGCAACGCTGAATGTATCGATCTTGATGTAACGTGCCGAGGGCTGTGCTGTGCTGCGCCGTGCTTAATTGCGATGTGCCAATGGACTAGGGGACATGCCAGGAGGACGCGCCGCGGAACGTCCCAAGGGACGCGCCAGGCGACGCGCCATGGGCACGCACCGCGGGACGTGCCAAAGGGACGCGCTACGGAACGTGCCAATGGACGTGCCACGGGAAGTGCCAGGGGACGCGCCACGCGACGTGCCAGGGGGACTCGCCACGTGACGCGCCAGGGAACGTGCCAGGTTGCAACGCTTAATGTATCGATCTAAAATGTACCGGGCCGAGGGCTGTGCTGTGCTGCGCCATGCTGAATTGCGATTGACCATGCCGCGATTGTGCTCTATGGTGTTGAGAATCGAGTCATCATTCGCAAGCGAGTCCTGACCGAACTGATCTGGATCTGAAGCTCGAGATGCCCGAGCACATAGCAGCTGCCCCAGAGCTAATGGACTGGGGAACATGCCAGGAGGACGCGCCGCGGAACGTCCCAAGGGACGCGCCAGGCGACGCGCCAGAGAACGTGCCATGGGCACGCACCGCGGGACGTGCCAAGGCGACGCGCTACGGAACGTGCCAATGGACGTGTCATGAGACGTGCCAGGGGACGCGCCACGCGACGCGCCAGGGGGACTCGCCACGGGACTCGCAACGTGACCCGCCAGGGAACGTGCCAGGTTGCAATGCTGAGTGTATCGATCTTGATGTACCGGGCCGAGGGCTGTGCTGTGCTGCGCCGTGCTGAATTGCGATGTACCATGCCGCGATTGTGCTCTATAGAGTTGTGGATCGAGTTCTCCTTCGCATCCGAGTCCTGACCGAACTGATCTGGATCTTTAGCTCAAACTGCCTGAGCACATAGCAGCTGCCCCAGAGCTAATGGACTGGGGGACATGCCAGGAGGACGCGTCGCGGAACGTCCCAAGGGACGCGCCAGGCGACGCGCCAGGGGACGTGCCATGGGCACGCACCGCGGGACGTGCCAAGGGGACGCGCTACGGAACGTGCCAATGGACGTGCCACGGGAAGTGCCAGGGGACGCGCCACGCGACATGCCAGGGGGACCCGCCACGTGACGCGCCAGGGAGCGTGCCAGGTTGCAATGCTGAGTGTATCGATCTTGATGTACCGTGCCGAAGGCTGTGCTGCGCTGCGCCGTGCTGAATTGCGACGTGCTACGCCGCGATTGTGCCCTATAGAGTTGTGGACCGAGTCCTCCTTCGCAACCGAGTCCTGACCGAACTGATCTGGATCTTTAGCTCGAGCTGCCCGAGCACATAGCAGCTGCCCCAGAGCTAATGGACTGGGGGACATGCCAGGAGGACGCGCCGCGGAACGTCCCAAGGGACGCGCCAGGCGACGCGCCAAGCGACGTGCCATGGGCACGCACCGCGGGACGTGCCAAGGCGACGCGCTACGGAACGTGCCAATGGACGTGTCACGAGACGTGCCAAAGGACGCGCCACGCGACGCGCCAGGGGGACTCGTCACGGGACGCGCCACGGAACGTGCCAGGGAGCGTGCCAGGTTGCAATGCTGAGTGTATTGATCTTGATGTACCGTGCCGAGGGCTGTGCTGTGCTGCGCCGTGCTGAATTGCGATGTGCCATGCCGCGAGTGCGCTCTATAGCGTTGTGGACCGAGTCCTCATTTGCATCCGAGTCCTGACCGAACTGATCTGGATCTTAAGCTTGAGCTGCCTGAGCACATAGTAGCTGCCCCAGAGCTAATGGACTGGGGAACATGCCAGGAGGACGCGCCGCGGAACGTCCCAAGGGACGCGCCAGGCGACGCGCCAGGGGACGTGCCATGGGCACGCACCGCGGGACGTGCCAAGGAGACGCGCTACGGAACGTGCCAGTGGACTTGACACGGGACGTGCCAGGGGACGCGCCACGCGACGCGCCAGGGGGACTCGTCACGGGACGCGCCACGGAACGTGCCAGGGAGCGTGCCAAGTTGCAATGCTGAGTGTATTGATCTTGCTGTACCGTGCCGAGGGCTGTGCTGTGCTGCGTCGTGCTGAATTGCGATGTGCCATGCCGCGAATGCGCTCTACAGCGTTGTGGACCGAGTCCTCATTTGCATCCGAGTCCTGACCGAACTGATCTGGATCTTAAGCTTGAGCTGCCTGAGCACATCGTAGCTGCCCCAGAACTAATGGACTGGGGGACATGCCAGGAGGACGCGCCGCGGAACGTCCCAAGGGACGCGCCAGGCGACGTGCCAGGGGACGTGCCATGGGCACGCACCACGGGACGTGCCAAGGGGACGCGCCACGCGACGTGCTAGGGGGACAAGCGTTTGGCTCGAGACACCCTGCTTAAATCCTCATGCTAGACATTCGCCTGGGCGACCTGGACATGTGAAAACAAACGTTTCGCTCGACACATCCTGAACACATCCTCATGCTAGACATCCGCCTGGGCGAACTGGACACGTGAAAACAAGTGGTTCGCTCGAGACATCCTCAACACCTGTTCATGTTAGACGTCCGTCTGGGTCACCTGAGCACGTGAAAACAAGCGTTTCGCTCGAGACGTTCACAACACCTCCTCATGCTAGACATCCGCCTGGGCGACCTGGACACGTGAAAGCAAACGTCTCGCTCGAGACATCCTCAACACATCTTCATGTGAAACATCCGTCTGGGCGACCTGGGCACGTGAAAACAAGTGTTTCGCTCAAGACATTCTCAACACATCCTCATTCTAGACATCCGCCCAGGCAACCTGGACACGTGCAAACAAGCGTCTCGATCGAGACTTCCTCAACACATCCTCATGCTAGACATCCGCCTGGGCGACGAGGACGGGTGAAAACAAGCGTCTCGCTCAAGACATCCTCAACAAATCCTGGTGCTAGACCTCGGCCTGGGCAACCTGGAGGCGTGACACCAAGCGTCTCGCTCGAGACATCCTCAAGACCTGGGCACGTGAAAACAACCATTTCACTCGAGAGATCTTCTGAATTCTGGTCCCCGGGAGAAGACAATCCATAACACAAAACAAGCGTTTCGCTCGAGACATCCTCAAACTGTTCTGCAACACAAGCGTTTCGCTCGGGACATCCTAGATATTCATCGCAAATAAGTTCGCTGGCCCTACAACCGTCAACCGTGGGGGTAAACAACTAAAAGAGAACCCTGGGTTTCAGCCCTTTCCGGGAACAAAGTTAAACATATTCAAAATATTAGAAAATTACACCTGAGAAAACCCAACCAGTGGATGATTTCAAAATTGATACTATGGATATTGAGATCGATTGTGAGATCGAGAATGAGATATGAGATCGATAGTGGAATCGGTAGTGAGGACGATTGTAAGGTCGATCGTGAGACCAAGAGTGAAATCGATTCAATGAGATCGATAGTGAGATCGATCGCGAGATCGCTCATGCGATCTCTAGTGAGATCGCTTGTGATATTGATAATGAGATCGATTGTGAGATCGATGGTGAGATCGATCGAAAAGTCGGTAATGAGATCGATGGTGAGACCGATCGATAAGAAGATCGACCAGGAACCCGGGAACCTCGCCGCCCTCCGAAATCGGCCCGGAACCCGGAACCGGGAACCTGGGAACCCGGAACCGGGAACCCGGGAACCCGGGAACCCAGCCTGTCACCAAAATCGGCGGGGAACTTTCCCCAAATCCTTCAACATCCGCTAGGACTTCAGTGGAAGCACTGATTGGGGGAAAATGGTCAGAAAGAATCGAAAATCGTTTATTTTTTGACTACTTCTGAATATTCCTCCTGTAGAGGGACGGGCCCGATTTCGAATTAGTGTTCAAA